GATAGATAGATAGATAGATAGATAGATAGATAGATAGATAGATAGACAGACAGACAGACAGATAGACAGATAGATAGATAGATAGATAGATAGATAGATAGATAGATAGATAGATAGATAGATAGATAGATAGATAGATAGATAGATAGATAGATAGTGTGGCGAGTATCCCGAGTCCAGATTAGCGTCGCCCTGGAAACGCTGCTGCCACACTGATCACAGAAGCACAACACCTGTGCGTGATGAGTGGCGCACCTGGAGCTCGTTCCCGCTGGCCTTAAAAGCCAGGAGAAGAGACGCCAGCGGGAGAGCACCCCAGGACTCCAGGCAGCATTAACGATTGTTCTCCTTATTTCACAGACTCTGAAGGCACCCAGGGAGAGAGATCTGCACCACGGCACTTCACCCCACGAGCACCACTCTGAGATGGGCACCGAGCACCAGTCATCAAGGGCACGTGTGATCAGTGTGTGTGGGAATAAATCACCCTACGGGGCTCTTTCGACCAGTACCGAGTCTGTGCTCTCATTCACCCCGCGACAATAGATAGATACACAGATAGACAGATGGTAGATAGACAAACGGATAGACAGATGGATGGATGGACTTTTTCAGGTAACTAGTAAAGTAATGCATTACTTTTTAATTTACAAGATCATTTCGGAGTTACTTTTTCAAATAAGTAATGCCAGTTACTTTGTTTTCCCATTTATTGATTGAAATCTCTCCTGTCCCCGTGTTGAGAGCAATCTGGAGTAAGACAGATATCTAGAATAAATGTGAACATGCTTTAATTCATCTCACTCACAAAAAAATATAAAAAGTGACTCAGAATATGACTCAAAGCTGCAATAATTAAATATGTTAAAAAATACAAATATCCTTTATGTATTTAATCCCATTTTATTAACCAATTTGCTGCTGACCTTCGATGATCAACCGTACTAAGCACAAATTACACAAGATAAACTAATGTTTCGTCTTTTTTTATTGCAGAAGAGTGTTGAACTTTCTTCTGTGTTCTACTGTACAGACGTGATTTACATTCCCTTCAGCCTGAGGCTTCTGGTGTGAAAGGCTTTTATATTCGCCAAAAATATAACTTTTTATTTTAAAAACAAACAAACAAGCCCCGTCCAGATTTAAAAAGTAACGCAAAAGTAACGTAACGCATTACTTTCAATAAAAAGCAACTAAGTAACGTAATTAGTTTTTTTAGGGAGTAACGCAATATTGTAACGCATTACTTTTAAAAGTAACTTTCATGCATATGATAGCAAACAGCTCATCTGAAATGAGGCGTCAAGATTATCCTTTGTGGTTTTATCTCTTTGAGGTCTAATACAGAGAGACAGAGATTTAAAATATCTTATTTTAAATCCATATTTTAAAACCATGACAAGGTTTCTAGTGAAGGTTGGTCACATCAGAAATAAAAAAAAGCGAATTTTTTTTTTTAGCGCACTATAGTCAGCTATTTCCAAGTTAGTGGTCATTTTTTATGGTCCAATTTATAATTTGTGACCTTTTCTGTGTATGCTCGTTCAGTTGCTGACGCTGCAACGATGCTTTCATTTCCATTTATTTAGTGTTTTAATCATAATCTACACTGAGTGCAATTCTCAAGCTACGCGGAGTAAAAGTGTGCTCTTAAAAAAATCAAAAAGTGAAAGACGGGGGAGGAGCAAACAACTGTCTATCATCTGACGCCTTCGTCTAAGCCCCGCCCACTTAAACACCCCGCGCGCTTAGCCACGCCCCCACTCTGTAGCGTTTTCCGGTGTCGATGTTTGGCCACAATTTTGAGCATTTCTATCGTTTTTGTTTCCCGACAGCGAACGCGACGTCGCTCATCTTTATAATGGATGCGTAGCGTGTAATTATCATTCAAAATAGCCAAGAGGGAGTTCTGCCGTGTCCTCTAAACGTGAAGTTTGAGTGGTTTCGTCGTCTGTGTATGCGTTGGGCTTTTGGAAACGGGTTTCGCGCGAGCGATGTTAAACGCAACACAAGCCCGCGGGCTGCTGGTTTTACTCCTGAGTTTATTCTGCGGTCACTTCGGCTGGGGATGGTTTCAAAACAACGCCAAGAGCAAAAGCCCACAGAAGGAGCCCGTTTACGGAGAGACTCCGGACAGCCAGGACCAGAGCTGCTTGTGTCATGTACGTTTATTTGATGCTATGGCTAAAAACACGTTATGTTGTGTTAATATCTCTGCTTTTGACACAGTTGCCACAGTATTTCTGGCATGTTCTACTGTCGCGCGAATGTGACGTCAGCGCCGTCCGTTGCGGTTTTCCGCGCCGTTTAGTGTTTTTCTGTTGAAACTTAAGATTTTGTCTTAAAGCGTTAATTTAGCGCTGTCTGTGATCCTGGCCGGTTAATATGTAGAGAAACAAATATTTTGATACGTATCCGAAACGTAAACATTGTTTACGTTTATTTATTCACATTTTATGCATTTGTTTTTTTATTCTAAGCGTTATGTTCAAGTTTAATTGGATATAACATATTCATATAGAACATATTAAATGAAAAGTTTATTTAATTTAAACGAATAATAAAGGAAAGAAGGTTTACGGAATAAATGGACAGGCAGGAAAGAAACCCGTCTGTTATTCAGCGTGTTGTTGTCCCATTGGTCCGCTTGATGCGCTGACGTCAGCGGGATTATGGGTTTTGTAGTCTTGAATCGTTCCCTCCACCGTTGGCTACAGCGCTAAGCGCGCCAGTGAAGAACTACAGCGCGTCGCGTGTGACGTGTCTTTGTTTGGAGGCGGAGCGACGCTGCTGTACTTCCACGCGGTAGTTAGTAAAGTTTTGACAGCTCATCTCAAGCGGTTTGTGATCCCAGAGGAGCTTTAACTCTCCGATCCAGTCCTGCATCAGGATGACAGCTGCTAGAAACCGCGCTCAGCACTTAAACACTTAAAGCAGGGTTTGCGTCTGTAGAGGCATGTCTGGAAACAGATGCAGTCTTTGGGAGGCGTCTCTGTTTGCTTTGGGACTTTTTGGACTTTTACATTCAAAGCAGGTCAGAAGTCGTGTGTGTGCTATTTATAACTACCAAATTAAGTAGTTTTATTTTTTATATATATATATAAAATATTATTATTTTTTTTTTTTAGTTTTTAAATTATTATTATTAATATTATTATTATTATTTGCTGCTTGGTGTATTCTGTATTTAAAAAATAAATTAATATATTTAACATATAAATAAATACATTAATATATTAATTTGTTATTTAATTAATTAATATATACATAAATTCACATATTTTTGTTTACTAAGTTATTTAAAAGTTCTTTATTATTTGAATTTATTTATTTAGCTGCTTGGTTTTGTCTGTATTTTATTTATTTTTTATTTGAATTAAAATTTTTGAAGTTATTTAAAAGTTCTTTACTATTTGAATTTATTTATTTAGCTGCTTGGTTTTGTCTATTTTAATTTTTTATTTGAATTTAAATGTGTATTTATTTTTGCTGCTGCTTTTAAGTAATTTTTTTAATTGTAATAATTAAAAAAAAGTTATTTTTATTTAATTTAATTAATTAAATAAATATATTAATTTGTTATTTAATTAATATATACATAAATTCACATATTTTTGTTTACTAAGTTATTTAAAAGTTCTTTATTATTTGAATTTATTTATTTAGCTGCTTGGTTTTGTCTGTATTTTATTTATTTTTTATTTGAATTAAAATTTTTATTTATTTTTGCTGCTGCTTTTAAGTAATTTTTTTAATTGTAATCATTTAAAAAAAAGTTATTTTAATTTAATTTAATTACGTGTAGGCTGTACGGGCTTGTGCTGATTTGATCCGCTTTAATTAGTCCGTTTCAAACACCTGGTCAGTAATAAAGCAACATACGGTTTATTTCACACGAGAGACTAAACGGATGGAAAATGGAGATATAACAGTTTTTGGGGCTTTCATCAAAAGTGTGATATCTGTTATTATTATTATTATTATTCCTCCTGTGAATTCGAGATCTGCTGTGTTTTCTGCAGTTAACCGGGGTCTTGGACGACTGTTTCTGTGACATCGAGAGCATTGACGTCTTCAACAACTTCAAAGTGTACCCTCACATTCGCAAGCTGGTAGAGCGAGACTTCTTCCGATACTACAAGGTGAACTTTGCTTTGTAAACCTCACAGAATATGTATTATGAATGTGGACGAATGAAGCTGACTGCTTTCTCAAACGAAGCCTTGGATATCCAGCCAGCTGTGTAGATATGATGTTAAATGTCGGATTAGGTACTGATAAAGATGTGTGCACTAACTTTCTATCCTTTTTTTTTAACGTTGTTGCTGTTATTATTATCTGTTAATGTTTATACGTTTTTTAGCCATTTTATTCAATGCTAAAATAATGTTTATTATTTATATTATTAATATATTAACATATTTATTGCTGTTTTATATGATTTATTATAATGGGATTTATTAACAAAATATATTTATTTTTAGTTTCATGTTATACTTTTTTTTTTAAAGCCATTTTACTCAATGCTAAGAATAATAATTTAATAATAATATTTATTCCGTATTGTATTTTATATTATATTAATATATTTATTTTATGTGATTTATTGTTATGGAATTAGTTAACATAATTTAATTTCATATTATTTTAATATTTCGATACATTTTTATTTAAGAGCACTACTGTTGTTTATGTTTGTTTATTTATATTTACATATATGATATTTAATACATTTACATTTTATTATAATATAAATTTAAATAATTTAAAATATACAATCTATTCAAAAAAATAATTTTTATATTATTTGAATTATTCTGAATACTTATAATATTAATATAAATAATCTAAAATGAAATGTTATTATAGTAATATTTATTAGTTTTATTATATATTTAAATTTATATTAATATATACATTTATTTAAATATATATTAACATATAAATATATTTGTCAATGTAAATATATATTAATATATTAATATATTTATTAATATAAATGTATAAATATATATTCATATATAAATGTTAATATATTTTAATTTTGTATTATTGATATCATATGCTAGATTTTTCATGTTCTGACCACAGAAACTCAATGTATTTTTCTCTACAGGTGAATCTGAAGCGTCCGTGTCCGTTCTGGCCTGATGAGGGCCAATGCTCGATCAAAGACTGTCACGTAGAGCCGTGCCCAGAGGTCAGAGTTCAACACGCTTGGCTCATTTGTTTTAATTTGACTATCCCCCAAAAAAAGCTCATTCTCATTCTCTTCCATGACTATTTCCTCCAGCTGTTATTGATCAAAAAGAGATTTTTAAAGGATTTTCTCTTTTCTTCCAGAGTAAAGTTCCTGTAGGAATCAAATCTGGCAACTATAACAAGGTAAGAGACTGAAGCGTGTTTGCGTTCGGTTAGGTGTTTTGTGCAAGGTTTTGTGTGTTTGCTCAGCTGTGTGAAGCGCGGGCGCTCCGTGTTTGTTTGTGTAATAGAGCGAGTAAGCTTGAGTCAGCACTCGGAGAGTCTGATAGCAGATGAACGGGTTATTTTTAGTGAGCTGTGAGATAGACGACCTCAGACACATCTGGAGAGGAAACACACGGCGCTGTAACAACACGAGAAACCTGTTTACAGTCACGGATGTTCATCTGATATACCTGGACTTTATAAGCCAGAAAGGGTTGTTAATAAATTAATTTCACGTGGTTTTCATCTCGTTTAATTGCAGAATTTTGATTCCTTGAAAACATTGTTTTTTCTATAGTTTCCTCTAAAGAGAGTAAACATTTGCAATAAACATATTTAGTCATTTCTAATAGAGTCATGTTTTATCTGCTGTTCTTTTTAAATATCTGATATGTTTTGATTTACATATCAATTGGTGTTATGTTTATTTAATGTTTGTGTTTCTATTTTTATTTTTGTTTTGTATTTTTGTAGCTGGTGTGCTTGATTTTTGCGTTGAAAATAGATTTTATTTTTTTATTTGATAAAAAAAATTAATGTATATGAAAAATACATTTTTAAAATATATTTGTAAAATTGTAACAATTAAAATAAATAAATAAATAACATGCATACATACATAAATAAATAAACAAACAATCTTCATATTTTTCCTAATGATGAAATGGTGGGGAAAAAAAAATATATATATGTACATTTTGAGCTGTACATTTTGTATTTTACTATATAAATATATATATGAAGAGTTTATTTGCAAAAACAGATAACTCAGTTTTTTCAAACTTTCAAAAATCGTGTTTTTTATTATGTTATGTTTTTATTGTTATATTGTGTTAGCTGTACTTTTTTATTATTTTTAACCTAATCAAAATAACCCAACTGCAGTTTGATTGAGAATAATTGGAAGGCACAATGAAAAAACAGGATTTTTGAATTTTTTATTTAGTTATCTGTTTTGCAATATTTACTTATTTGTTAAATTTGTTAATATTTGTCCCTTACTATTACAAATTTTGACATTTGATATGGTGCATTCAGTTTTCCTCTAAAGCAAACACGGTAGTACTTGTGTACATTACACATATTTAATCTTTCGCATGCAGTATTGTGATCGGTGTTGTCTTGTTCTCTGCTAGTTTTCTCAGGCCGCCGGCAGCATCAGTGATGCAAGAGAGTGTGAACAGGCTCATGAACTGGGAGCTGTGAACAGCACACTGAGGTAAAACACACTCACTCACACATACACTCACTCTCACACACACACACACACATACACTCACACACACACACACACGGTACGTGGATCTGCTGCTGAACCCGGAGAGATACACCGGATATAAAGGACCGTCGGCCTGGAGAGTGTGGAACAGCATCTATGAGGAAAACTGCTTCAAGTGAGACACCATCTCACACACACAGACAATCACATGCTGCTTGGAAACTCATCATTATTCTCAATGCTTGATTTGTTTTCAGGCCAAGATCAGTGTATCGTCCTCTCAACCCTTTGGCTCCCAGTCGTGGTGCGTTTTCAACATTTACTCAGAGTATTTCAGAGTTCAGTTACACTGCTGTGAGTGCATCTCATGAAAACACCCTGGAGCACAAAAGCAGTCATAAGGGTACATTTTTGGAAATTGAGATTAATGCATCACCTGAAAGCTGAATAAATTATCTATAATTGTGGCCCATACAATGTATTTGTTGCAGTGTAGAAAATCTGAATGCTGCTAATAGTCTTCATTCCTCGTTTAGTAAAATGTAATTTCTTATTTTTTACCCTTACCCTTTTAGGCATGCACATTTTGAGCTGTATGTGAGCAGAACAAATAACCAATTATTAGCTAAAATAAGAAATATAATTTTTTTTGTAAAACTATAAAATTTCATAATATAAAAAAATCTAAAATTATTTAAAAAAAAACCCATCTGTTTGTAAGTAACCAGAAAAAAAAATGAAATTCCATAATATATATATTAAAATATATATATATAAAATTATATTATACGTGTGTATAATTATATGTATCACAATTCATGAATAATGAATTAAAAAAAACTAAAAATCCTAGCAGCCCCAATTTAGGCTTCATTTCCTTTATATAAAATATACTATTTTTACATTTTCTTTTGTTTTTCTGTAGAAATATGACTTTTATTTTTAAAGATTTATTCTTGTATATTTGTATATTTGATATGTAACCTAAACTCTTTTCTCTGTCTCTCCTCTCAGGTGACGATGACGGTGAGTTAATATTTGCACAATTGCACAAATATGCTTCTGCAGTGAAACTGGTCTCAGATCAGTGCAGAAGGGCTTTTATTAAAGCAGACTGTCTGTTTCTCACAGGTGAAGGGTTTTACAAATGGATGGAAGGTGAGTGATTATTTACAGTGTAAATATGTTGAAAACACAGATGCATTCATTTGCATATTAATAGTTGTACAAATGACTTGCACAAATTCGTTCTGCTCGTGTTTCATGAATGAGGCCTGACACACTTCCTCCTGAAACTGAGAGATGTCCTCATTATTTGTTTTAAGTATTGTTGTGCTCTGCATTGAAAATGCTCAAGAGTTGTGGTTAACGCGAGTTATTTTGATATGTTGATTTGCTAATATAATTACCCAGGCTGAGGTTAGACTGTGTTTGTTCAACACTGATAGTGGAGACAAGAAGTTCCTACATTAGAAACTAATATCTATTTATTTGTTTTTATATGGATACATTCAACATGTCTACATTTATGTTAAATTTAAATGATAATTAAATCAGGGAAAAAAAATAATTAAATATTTATTATAATAAGTCAAAGTAAATTATTTACTTCAAGTTTAAACGTATAGTCATAGTACTTTTAATTTGTT